TATGTATATATATATTACTTACTGATCCTTTGGTTATATATGACAGCAAAGAAAAGATTATAGGAATGTCTTAAGATGGAGAGAGAACTTAAGACACACACACACACACAATAATACATGAAGATGGATCAATCTGACATGAAAACTTAAAACATCTACATAAAACATACCATAAGTAAAGTAGAAAAGAGAAGAACATGCTGGACAAAGCTATGTGCAATATGCATAACTGTCAGAGAATTACTGTATGGTATATACAGAAACCCTACAGATCAACAACAAAGAGTTAAATAAGCTAAAAGGAAAATAAACACAAGTGTGAATTCTATTCATAGAAAAGGAAAGCCAACAAATATGAAAAATCATTCAACCTCATTTGTTATCAAAGAAATCTAAAACTGAAAACAATTTAAATACAGAAAATTAAACTAATTTAATATTCCAAATATATTACAATAGGTACTTCAGAATACTTACAGATTCTATGTCTTTAATGTCTTCCTCTAACTGTTTATTTTGCTCGTTCATATGCATAACTATATTGAAAACAGACTGCCTAGGATGCAACGTTCGATCAAACTGGTGGTACATGTTTCTCCAAAACCTTTATGACAAAATAAAAGCTTTTACCAAAACAGACAGAAACAATAAGCTCTAGTGTTCTATAGTACAGTGGGAGACTGCGATTTACAAAACTTTTCACATATTTTATTAATCACTAGAGGAGAGATGCTCAAAGGTTTTAAACACATAGTGATAAGGAGATGGAAACATTACTGATTTAATCATACTATATATAGGTACTGAAATGTCACGTTGTATCTCATAAATATATACAATTATGTGTTAGTAAAACATTTTTTAAAATTTGGAGACAAACATTAGCTACTCTGATTTTAATATCATACGATCTATGTATTGAATGTATTGAATTATCATGCTGTCTCCCCATAAATATATAAAATTAAAGTAATAAGGGATTTTTTGGGGGGGCTTTTCTTGCTTTTTTTTTCCTGCAGTACTAGAGACTGAATCCAGGGCCTGTGCACTGAGCTACATTCCTATTCCCACCCCTTTTTAAAATTTTGAGACAGGGTTTCACTAAGTTGCTAAGTGGTCCAGGCTGGGCTCAAACTTGCAGTCCTCCTGCCTCAGACTCACAGTGCTAGGATTACAGGCGTGCACCACAACATCCAGCTAATAATTGTATTTGAGAAAACAAAAATATAAACATTTTAGCAATACCAACTTACTTAAAATTGAAAGATACTGTATTTGGATCCAAAACTGTAAACCTCTGAGATTTGGAATTGTATAGAGGATTTAAGTATTTCTTTTGGTCATCCAAAAGAAATGGCCACAGGGAGTAGGTCTTCTCCTTCAACCTTAACATAATGAGAAAAACACAAAGATCTTTCATGGAGCTGCAATTACTACTAATTTTCATAAATCACGCGATGGTCTACAAAGTAGATTAGGTTTTAGTTTTTCTTCATTTGTAGTCTAACCTCTTGTCTTTGTATTCTGTTTTCTCATTTTTAATTCATAAGCATGTAATAAAGTCATGTCTCTTGAACACAACATAGGTATGTCATTTTTCTTACACCTATACACTTAAGGAATTCCTCTCAATTCACATGATTTTAAAAATGTGGTCTCTATTTCAAATTACCAGACATTTAAATACAGAGCCACATATGAACGTAGCTCTGTTTGGCCTTAATCTCTTAACCTCGGATCTGGGTTATGGTGGCAAGTATCACAGGCAGGACCATATTTACAAATCAATTAGAAAAAACTGGAAAATTTAGAGGAAAATAGGCCAAAAAAAAAAAAAATCAGGCATTATGCAAGAGGTGTACATGTCCGTTAATCAGCAAGTCTAAGAGCTGGTGGGAACAGGCAGAAGGGTGGTGGAGGGTACATCCCACACAGACAATGCAGACCAGAAATTAGGGAACAGTAGACAGTCTCAATTTTCCATGACTGCAGAGGTGTGTCCTTAAGAGAAAGACTAGTAGGAAATACCCACTCCCATTTTTGAGGACTTCTGGCACTAAATTAAAAAAAAAAAGTTCTTCCTAAAATGGTTCCAAGAAACTCCAAGAAAAGTTGCCTGCACCGAATCATGATAAACAATTGTGAATGACTGTAGCACAAAACTAAAAGCTTGGCATCTTTTGATTTGTTCATCTCTGCCACACTCTGCTCATTTTAGTTTCTTTAGAGTTTCCCAGGTGCTCTCAGTTCTGCCACTGAATCTATCATGAGTGTGCGTGCATGACTGTCTCCAGACTACTATGAAATTTAGCTTCTCTACTATATCATTTGGATGGTCAAGAATCTTAAACTGCTCTTTATTGCTACTGCAAGAAAGCTAAATTCAGAAGCCAAACCAAAAATGCACACAGCACCTTTCAGTCTTACCCCAGATATCTTCTGCTTCAAAATATAGCTAAACACTCCTACTCCCAGAGACTGGTTAAGAAAGAGTAGGTGAGTTAGGGTCTCACATGCAATCACACTGCAGCCAACACAGGTACACTTATTTTCCCCAAAGAACAGTCTGTTTAGGAATATGAGAAGAGATATAAGGTTCCCTCTCACCTTAAAATAAACCAAGAGTTTTAAATCTTTTATCACACTTTAAAACTAATGATCAGTTGATCGATACTTACTTCAAGAACCTGTACTCTAAAAATATGGAAAACAGAAGAAATGGACAGATTCCAAGATACATATGAATTACCAAAGTTGAATGAGGAAGATATAAAAATTCTACACACCCCAATTACAATCAGTGAAATTGAAAACATAATTAAAAATTTACCAACAAAGAAAAGCCTAGGTCCTGATGGCTTCACTGTTGAGGTCTACAAGACATTTAGAGAAGAACTATTGCCACTACTCTTTAAACTTTTCTTTTAACTTTTCAAAGAAATTGAAAGGGAAACAATACTTCCAAATTCATTCCTGGAAGCAAGTGCTACTTTCATTCCCAAACCAGAGAAAGACCAAAAAAAAAAAAAAAGGACAACTACAGACCAACCTCCCTAATGAACATACATACAAAAATCCTCAATAAAATACTGGCAAACAGAATATAGAGGGTTATCACGAAGATCACACACCCTGACCAAGTTGGATTCATCCCAGGGATGCAAGGAGGGTTCAACATACATAAATTAATAAATGTAATACACTATATTAACAGAATCAAGGACAAAAACCATATGACCATCTTGATAGATGTAGAAAAAGTATTCAACAAAATTTGAATCCCATTCATGATAAAAAACCCTATAGAAAATTGGAACAGATGGTCTTTATATCAACCCGATAAAGGCTATCTATGAAAAACCCGAGAGCGAACATCATACTAAATGGTCAAAAACTGAAAACCATGCTAAAATCAGGAACAAGACAAGGATGTCCACTATCACCACTCCTTTTCAATATAGTTCTGGAGATATTAGCCACGGCAATTAGACAAGAGAAAAAAATAAAAGGAAAAAAGATAGGAAAAGAAGTTAAACTGTCATTATTTGCTGATGATATGATACTCAACTGCCAAAAGATTTCAGACTTAATTGACAGACTCAGTAAAGTAGTTGGATACAAGGTCAACATTAAAAAATCAATAGCCTTCTTGTACACAAATAACAGACTCACTGAGAGAGAAATCAGGGAAATAAGTCCTCTCACAATAGCATCCAAAAAAATGAAGTATCTAGGAATCCATCTAACAAAGGAAGCAAAAGACCTCTACATTGAGAACTACAGCACTGTGAAAAAAAGAGATTGAAGAGAATATAAGAAAATGGAAAGATATTCCCTGCTCCTGGGTAGGAAGAACCAATATAGTGAAAATGGACATACTTCCAAGACTTCTATATAGATTCAGTGTTATCCCGATTGAAACCCCAAAAGTATATTTCACACAAATAGAGAAAACAATACAAAAAAATTCATTAGTACCAGAAGAGACCTAGAGAAACAAAAGCCATTCTAGGCAACAGGGACATGACAGCAGGTATCATAATCCCCAACTTGAAACTATACTACAAAGCTACTGTGATAAAAACAGCATGGTACTGGATCAGTGGAATAGATTACAAGATACAAACACACCTCCAGACATCAGCTGCCTCATCTTTGATGAAGGAGACAACCATCCTCACTGGATATTACAGAGAAAAATACCATCTGTAATAAATGGTGCTGGAAAAACTGGATTTCAACCTGCCAAAGATTAAGACTAGACCCCTATCTTTCACCATGCACTAAACTAAAACTGAAGTGGATTAAAGATCTAAATATTAAAACAGAAACACTAAACTTGCTGGAAAATAAGTTAGGTAGAACTCTTGAAGACATTGGCATAGGAAAATACTTCATAAACAAAACCTCAATAGCACAGGAACTAGCACAAAGAATCAACAACTGTGATCTCACCTTATTAAAAAGCTCCTGCCCTGCAAGAGAAATCACCAACAGAGCTAAGAGACAACCTACAAGGTGGGAAAATTTTATTACCAGCTGTTCCTCAGACAAAGGTCTACTATCTACAATATATAAAGAACTAAAAATTCAGACTCCCCCAATGTAAAGACCCAATTAAAAAAATGGGCATCTGAAATGAAGATATTTCTCAGACAAAGGAGCAGCAAAGAAACATGAAAAAATGTTCAACATCATTGGTCATTTGAGAGATGTATACAAAAACAACACTGAGATTCCACCTCACCCCAGAAGGAATGGCTATCATGATATTAACCAATAACAAATACTGGTGGGTTGTGAGGAGAAAGGAACCCTTCTCCATCGTTGGTGGGAGTGCAGACTGGTGCAAACACTGTGGAAATCTATATGGAAATACCTTTAACAACTAGGATTAGAGGTCCCATTTGACCTAGCCATTCCTCTGAAGGGTATCTTCCCAAAAGATTTTAAAGAATCATACTACAGTGATATATGCACACCCATGTTTGTAGCGGCACAGTGTGTACTAGCTAAAACTTGGAAACAGCCCAATTGCCCATCAGCTTGAGACTGGATAAAAAAGATGTGTTTTGTTTTGTTTTTTAAATAAAATGGAGCACTACTGAAGCACAAAGAATGAGAAAGTTTCTAGGGTGCTGGGTTTCTTGTTCTGGATGCTGGTTTTACAGGTATGTGATAAGATTCATAAAACTGCACATTTATGCTACCTACATTTTTCTGTACACATATTACACCTCAAAATACATTAAAAATGTATTTTTACTTTTTCCCTAAGGAGGGAGGGTATGTTAGAAGGGTACTTAGCTTCAAAAATACAGAAATATGTAAGATCTATAATAAATTTCAGTTCTACTTCATATTGTCAAGACATTTTATTAAGTCAACCATGACTTAATAACCATGACTTCTATAAGGGGGAAGGAAGAGCCCATTTTCATTAAATCATCTTACTTGAGTTCTTCTCTTTCCTTCTGACAATTTCCAAGGAAGTTTCCAAATTGGCATGAATGAATATGTTCATGGATCTGAAGAAGAAATGCTTCGTTGAATTCAAAGGCCTGTGGAAACTGTTCCGTCAAATGCCACACACATTCCAAGAACTGAGTAAACACTGGTGAGACTTCCTTTGTGTCACCATCCAAATGTCCAGACCTAATCCCCCGGAAAACACAAGCTTTTAAAAATGCCCTGAAAAATGTCCACTGTACAAGTAATGCCAAATTTACATATACTTACAAAAACCCTAAAACACTGTTACATTAACAAATGAAAAACAAAACAAAACTTAGCATTTCTTCTTGTTTTATTGCAGCCATGTATGGCTATGAGTTTTGCAATTAAAATTTTAAAGGATCTGTTATTATCTAAATATTACAAACCAGAAAGAGAAATAGCCACAAAAATTACAAAGACATTAGGATCGCAAAGAAATGACAGAAAATTAAATCTCATACACTATATAGTACAAAACCATAGCAAACTCATCTCCCAAGTCATGTGAGTTCATGAAGAATAGAAACATTATGGTACTCTAATTTTATGAAAGTCATAAATGTGTAACTGACACTCACCTCTCTGAAAATTTATGTCCAAACGAGATCCAATCTTTTTCTATTAAAACCTTAATGAAAAAAGGTAAAACCCACTTTTCAACATTTTATTAGAATGGATTCAATTCCATTAGCTTAAGAATAGTATTTATGCTTTTAATGTACTTTTCCCAAATAGAACTCCCCCAGGCACAAAAAAGAATACAGGCAAAAGATAGCCAAAACTTGGGATTAGAGGTGAAGCTTAAAAAGAGCAAAAACATATAAAAAGAAATAGAGGAGTCTCATGTCAAAATGAGTTAGTTGTACTACATGTTAAAGGAAATGTGCATGTTATAAATCAGTCTTGCACTTAAATTTTTTTGTGTACAAATATGACATATAAAATGCTAGGTAAATATAAATTAAAATGCTAACAATAATTAACTCAGAAGACTGAGTGAACATTTTAAACTTTTTGGCTTACGTGTACAATGCTTATGTAAAACTTTTCCAAGAAAAAAGTCAATGATAAAAATACCACTGGCAATGAGTCTATATTGAAATTCAAAGTCGATATTCATCTTCTTGAATGCACTATCTTTATCTTTCCTCACTGTCACAGCTTCTCTACTTATCAACTCCACTGAAATAACCAATTTCCAACGTTTTCAAATCTAAGCAAAATGAATCTTCTTAGTATTTAATATACCTTTAATTTCATTACATGAGCACATTGTTTTCCTAGTGTCAAGATGATCACCTTGAGCTTCTCTGGTTCTAACTTAAATCTCTCTAAGCTGGGCAAAATGCTGTAAATCCTGATGGTAAGGATGCCTATTCTGGTACACACAAAGACTCGCACCCTGGCTTTGCCACTTCTACCGCTGTGTGACCTTGGGTAAATGAACTTCAGGCTGGAACTACAAATTTGATTCTAGGTCCTCCACATTCTTCTACACATTGGTGTCTAAATACTAACTTGAATCTTCTGCAAGAAACTTGTTCCTCTGCTTAGGTCAGTGCCGAGCAGGAAAGCAACACCACCTATCCAAGAAACTAATTTAGAAACCTGGAAATCCTCCTGGAGGAGGACACTCCTCTAGGCCACATCCAATCTGTGACCAATTCTCGCTCATTTTTATTTTTATTAGTATATGTTTGCAGTACATAATTATATATGACATGGAAATTTAATACATGTACATAACTCATCTTATTTTTCATCCCATTCCTCTGCTTTCACTCCCTGCTCCCACCATTTCCTGGTTCCTTTCCTTTCTGCAAAAGATGTACTTCCTTGTTTCCTATTTATTATTTTGCTCTTTAATTTATATTTTGCCAAGCAATCTTTTAAAAAAGTAGCTATTAAAAGTTACTATTCCCTCTTTTTAAAGGTTTTTATGGCTTTCACTGCCCAAGAGAGGGTAGGCCAATTCTAGCCTTTTCTTCCACAGGCCCTTACCCCTCTTCACTCCTCTGCACCGCCCCTCTTTCTCACACTTACTCTGACTCCCATCCTTCACATATCACCTGCAGTCACCTAAAGAGGTTCAATTTATGGTGTTCCTGTTGTTTAGGAAGCACTCAATGTCCCTAGTTATTTATTATTTGATTTTGTTTGAAGGAAAGCCTGGCAAACAAGATAAACAAAATATTCACTGTCATACAATCTCCAGTAAATTGAACATTCAGCTCTCAGCACCACAAAAGGGGAGAACAGGTGTAAATGGAACATTATTTTCTTATTGGCATTATATATATTTGGGGGGAGGGGGGTGTTGAGACATGGTCTATGTAGTTCAGAATGCCCTGGAACTCACTGTGTAGCCCGGTTGGTCTCAAACTCACAGCGATCCTCCTGCCTCAGCCTCCCCAGTTCTGGGATTACAGGTGTGCACCACCACACCCAATGGCATTATATTCTTATAATTTCCTTACCTCTAGCCTGTCCCAGATTCAACATTAGCACAAAATAAAAGTGCTAAAAAGGTACTGGTGATTTTAAGTCTTAAGGTGATACTGTATTTAAAAATCTAAACACAAGGGATGGGGATTTAGCTCAGTGGTTCTGCTGACTGCTTCGCAAGCACAAGGGTCCTGAGTTCAGTCCCCAGTAACAAACAAAAAAAAAACAACAAAAAAAAAAAATCTAAACACAAAATCGTTCTAATATGTCTTCTTTTACTCAGTAAGAGTTAAAATGTAAAATCTGAAAATCAATCTGATCATATGGTAAAAAACAGAAGGCTTTATTTCCATAAAGTGGAAAACATGATCAATTAGAAATGTAATCTTCATAAGGGGCTGAGAATTTAGCATAGTGGTTCCGCCACCTGCCTTGCAAGCTCAAGGACCCAATTTCGATCCCCAGTAACCACCCCCACAAAAAGTCAAATAGAAATGTAATCTTCACATATAAAATACACTTAGCATGTTACACACTTAGTAAATGAATATGTTTTAAATAAAAGTCCCTTCCAGAATGTAACTTTTTTTTAAGTATTTGTGCCTTGTTTTATTGTGTCACTTAGGATATGTAGTGATATTCCTGGCTTCTACCAGCTACATGCCAGCTGCATCACTGTCTCCCAACATTGCAATATCCCCTGGGAGGACAAAATCACTTCTATTTGAGAACCACTTGTTGAACTGAATAAACCCTTACCATGAATCCTTTGACTGTCCTGTAGTATGAATCCAGCAAAAGTGAACCAAGGGAACAAACCTGGGAAGTCCTATCCCACCCATCAGAACAATGTACCAGTACACTTGCACTTTCAACCATTATTGCCTGAAAAGAAAGATCATATACTTAGATTCTGGCAGGACACATTTTCTATAAACCAATCAATCTATTTACTTGAAACCCACAACAACAAGAATTGCACTATAAAGAGCTATACCTGCAATGATTATGCTGCCATTACGTAACTTAAAAGCAACAATTACAGGGCCAGGGATTTATTAGCTCAGTGGTTTCGCCACCTGCCTGAGTTCGATCCCTGGTACCAAAAAAAAAAAAAAAAACCTAGGGCAAACAAACAAAAAACAAAACAAAGTCAAAATTTGTTTCAAAATATTTATGCATTTCTAAGTTTCTACATTAAATCAGTGTCTTTTCTTTAGTGAGATCAGTGTTGTTTTTGTTTTTGTCCGGAAAAGCATAAAAATGGGCCAGTTGCCCCAGAAATTTTTTTGAAATAGATTTTTTTTTTTTTTTTTTTTTTTTTTTGGTT